ACTTCCAAAGCTTGTCATCTCAAACTCTGAAAACCAGAATAGTTTTTACATCTGCGTGGCCAAATATGGAGGAGGAGATTCAGCAGCCATGCTGTGCACATCTTCTGCTGTGCTGCATACTTCTTGCAGGCCTGCTCCACGGGCTCTCCTTTTGTCAGCTCTTCCTTGGGATGAATGCAGACAGCAGGAAAAAATGAATTGTCTGTTCTGCTTCTCAAATTTATCTAGAGATTTCACCCTCACTTGATTAAAAAATTTGCAAACCAATCTCCAGTCCTGTGCAAAGATTAAGATGGCAAAAAGATTCATGCCTGCACCAAGCTCTAATTTGGTTTTATCACTCACTTCAAAGAATACGGATAAGTGGTATTTTCTAGAGAAATTGATTTAATCTTTTTCAACACAGGCCTAAACCAAAATTAAACAGAAAATTGTTGATGCAATTTTATCTAAGAAAGTTAAAAAAAATGCGCACACTAATCGCAGAGTACTTATTTACAGTGGCATGTTATGGTCTGTGTTCATCCCTGAAAGAATCACCACAATATTTTTTAGAAATTCAGGCTGAAATGTCACCCCATTTTCTTCCCGATGCAAACAAGACAGTTAAAGCTGAGGACTGGAGCTAAGACACTCTATTTGAATGACATTTTTAAGATCCAGCTGGACAGGGTTCTGGGCCATCTTGACTAGACTGTGCTTTTGCTGAGAAGAGTTGAACCAGGTGATACTGAGGTCCCTTCCAACCTGGTATTCTATGTTTCTATAACATATTTTTGACAAATAGTTTATCTGTTGAAAAAATGCAAATGGAACAGACTTTTTTTGATGAACTATTTGCTGATTTAATCTAAATATATTCCATTGTGAGATATTTTACCTACCTTTAAATTTGAAAAGTAAAAAAAGTAAAAAAAAATTTAAATTCTGTTAAGATAGAAGTTTCATTCAGTCCCAAACTCATCAAGGTTGTATTCTTCACTTCACCAGCAGAAGCAAACTGGTTCTCTCCTTTTGATCAGTGACACAACACGTGAGAAAGCCGAGAGATCGCTGTCTGTCCCCCAACATCCGATGGAGATGCGTGCTGGCTGCTCCCCTAGGGAGAGTCCTGGTGGATCTAGAGGCTCAAACATGTGATCCTGCAGGGATCTACAGAAGTTGCTGATTTTTAAGGGAAGAGGAATGGCATTAAATTTGTGGAGCCGATGTCCTCTTCTCCAAAGCCTTTTAGTTCAAACTCCACCATGGGAGCATCCTTGCAGGGAGCGATGCCGGGCCAGGGGTGCTGCCGTGCCCCATCCCACTGGCACCCTCGTGGTGCCCACACCTGATGGAGCAGCAGCCGCAAACTCTGATCAGCTGGTGGGAGCTAATGTGAGATTGTAACCATCTGTTCCAATAGATTTTTCTGTTGGAGAGATGCAAAGAGCAAAAAGGTTTTAACTCTAGGTCATCCCTCAGTTTTCTTGACTTGCTGAGCAGCAGTGCTGTGTCTATGTGTTGTCTGGCTGATACCTAGAACAACGATACTTCAGAATAAGGAGTAAAGACCTGGATAAAAATAGAAGGACGGAATTGAAGGAATGTCCTAATTACAGTGGTCCTTATCAGCCTCTTAGGACTGAGTCATTCATCACATTCACCATCATAATAATTTTATGTATGGCATTGTGATGGGCAAATAATTTCTTCTATTTTAGAGGGAAAGAGCAGAGATCTGGATCATCACACTCAAATGAAGAAATGATTATTTCCTAATTGTGCTAAAACACTCCAAGGCCAGTACATTAACCACAATAAAGAGTACATGAGGAGCAACCCAGGTAACGTGATCTATAACAATTAAAGAGGCAAAATGTCTTGTCTTTCAATGCACTAGGTTAGTTCCAAAATATTGCAAATTCCTGTGACTGAAGTTTCAAATACAGCCGTGTTTGCACAGCAGAGTTTGAAATGGCTCCTTGGCAGAGAGTAGGTGTATTTCTAATTAAACAGACACAATGCACCATGGCATGCCTTTCTGGCCAAAATTTGGTTAAATGGATGTTGTTTGGAATGTGCCCTGTTCTGCCTTTGTTGACACTAAGGATTTGTTCATGCAAGTTAGAAAGAAATGGTCGGGGTTCAGGAGAGGGGAGGTGGGGAGAGAGAGAGAAAGAGTGAGCAGCAGAGTCTGTAAGCCAGCTAGCAGGAGTGGTAGGGAAAAGTTTCCCGGAGTGCAAAAGCTCCTGCTCAAGCACGGGATATTTGCAAAGATGAGTGACTGGAGGAGGATGTATTGGATGGCTGAAAAGTGAGCTAGGGGAGCAAACACGTATTTTATCTTTGCATCTGTCACTGGCGTTCTACCGGGGTTTCTGGGCTCCATTTAAGCTGGCTTTTTTGACTCCTCCTCCTTCCCACATGGCAAGTGTGGTGCTACAAAGCAAAGCGTCACCACTTGATGCTGCAATGGCAAGGCAACCTCAGGGTCAGGACCCAGACACAAGTCTGGACCTTCTGGTCACTCAACTGCTCAGCACAGGGCTAGTGGGAAGGTAGAGGAGATGAAAGGATGTGGGGGGCCTCTCTCTATGCGGGATGCCTGTTCCCTAATAGCCTGCGTGTGCTGTCATTGAGAGCTGCCCTTCTGAGGAAAACAAGACCTTGAAATGACTTGAATAAGCTCCCAGGTCCCACCTAAGAAGATGATTGTATTTTTGGTAACGCCTACAATAATTTGACATAGGTATAGGTAGGGGAAGGCAGGGTTTAAGTACGACGGCAGCTTTTGCAAGAGGTCAAGGGTTGCTACTCACAGTGGAAAAGCAGCCGAGCCCCCTTGCACGGGACACCTGTGAGAGTCAAGCTCCGTTCTTTGCACACGAGCTACTTTAAGGGGTGGTGGCCGACTGTCCAAGTGACTTTGGACTTTTGGAAGTTCTGCTGCTCCCTTGACATTGCCAACAAACCAAAGCACCCACCAAAAAGCAGCCACGGGGATTTCTAGCTTCTCAGAGACCTTTGGGCTGAGGTAGTCAGAGCTGCTCTTTGCCCTCTGAAGAGCTTCACAAGCCCAAACGCATGCTGACATTTGTCCTGCCTCCAGCTACAGCAGCAACCAAAGGGTCCTGCGGCTTGAGAGGCTCCCTGTGACACTCCTGGTGGTGGTGCCCTGAGACGGAGAAGTGTTGTTTAACAACCATTAAAGCTACCATCTAAGAATTGTTTTTCGTGCTGCCTGGCAGTTGCATTTGGAAGCCTTTCCGAAGGACAGCTTGGATGGGCCCGTTGCATACGGTTGCTGTAGTAGAGGAAGTGGTTTTCTCTTTGACAAGAAATGCAGGTGACTAGGAAATGAGAGTTCCTAGGCACAGTACGTTTTACTAATTAGATGAAGCTGAAATACGTTAGATGTATTTAAAAAATCAAGCTAAAGCTATAAACCAGGTGACTGATGGTCAGTATTTTTCCCTCTTAGAAAGGAAAAAATGCAAAAGAGGGGCAGACTCGACTGTGTTAGTGTTCCTGATGCGGCCTGGCTATGTCCATTTGTCACCAAAGTTACAAAGTCACGTTAAAGAAACTGATTTCCTTAAAAAAATACCGTGCATTTTATCAGGTCTGGACAAAGTAATTTATGGCTTTTAAAATTACCATTTTGATGCTGATTTGTTCCATTTCAAAGAGGAATAAATTTTACTCTGGAAATGTCAAAATGCAGCAGAATAGGCATGCCTGTGTCTTACATAGTCTTCCAAGAGGAGACTGCAGCTCAGGATAGCTTAATCTTACACTTGCATTCCCCTGCACGTAGGCCATGTGTGCAGACGTGCTTATTCTGAAGCCTAGATTTAAAATCTACTCTGGCTTCCGTGGAATTTGGGCCTGAGCTTAAAAAAGGCTGCTTTTGTGAAGAGTAGCTTTCACAGACTTCCTCCACTACACTAATACATGCTTATGAAGTCTTACGGTATGCCAGGGTGTAAGCATGAGTAACGCAGAGCTGTGCCGTAGCTGCACAGCTGAGTGTGGACTGACGTGACCTGAAAACCAGAAGAAAGGTGAAAGAGATCTGTGTCCTTATGTCACAGGACACCGTGCCATTAACTGAAGTTCTGGGCTCTGTCACATCCACGACTGTGAAATACCAGAGCGTGCGAGCGGTGAAACACAGCGAAGGGGAGAGGAAGAAAAAAGGAAGGGAAGAGGGAGGGGAAGGGGAAGGGAGGAAGGGGAGAGGTAGGGGGAAAGGGAAGGGACTCGTCCAAATACGGAGACTGGCCAGATAGACATTTGAAACTTTATTTCTGTAAAGAAATAGTAAGAAATTGTAAAAAGCAGCACATGGGAAGAAACGCTGAGGACTGCAGACAGTCCGTACACCGTATTCCGGCAAAGGCAAGGGGAATAGGCACCTATCGGCCAAGCAGTCCCATTACAAACTCGTCCCTCTGTCAGTACTCGGATTTGAGGCGGCCTTGTCTGCAGACGGCTGGGATGCCTGCAGTCATTTCCTAATGCTGTTTCCATAGTCCTTTATTTATTAAGTGGTTTGGTTGCACTATGCATTGGGACACGCGTGGTACAGAAAAGAGAACGGGGCAGAACTTTCTATGGCCACGTTTTAGCAGAGGCTGTAAGTCTGTCGAAAGCACTAGCAAGCAGGCAGCTGCGTGTACCAGAGCACCGTCGTCTCCGGCCAGCAGCTCCAGACCAAAGGCTGATCTGCAGTTCTCAGTTAGCCACAGAGGCGGGTAAACGAACAGCAGGGAAATGGGAAGAAAGACATCGCAACATCTGATGTTTCTCCCTCTTGAGTACAGAGGGATTTGTTTGTTTTGTTTTTTGTTTTTTCCCCCCCGAAGTGACTTAGGGATTACTCTCTAGAACCCTTTGATTTTTCCATAGTGCAGAGCTCCGAACAGCTGGGAGTTTAATTACTTAGGGTAGCAATTGCTGAGGGTATCAGGCGAGGCTTTGCCTGTGAAGAAAAGATGGCATTGTCTCTGAAACACTTCAGATGCCAGCTGGGAGAGCTGCACCTGAATTTCCGTGCTCTGGTGACTCCTGCACAATCCCTGCAAGACCTGCAGATCAGCTGTGCAGTTTCTTTCCCCTCTTGTGCCTGGCACTTGTGTCTTCCCTTCGGAAAGGAGCTCGACACCATTACACATCATCCAGGGCTCGAGGATCAAAACAAGAGAGGCTGTTGAAGTAGTTGGAGCTTTGGGAAAAGCTAGTTTCAAAGCTCTGGTCATGACTGAGAGGAAGGGGTGTGTCTGCGTCAGTCCAGAGAGAGCTGATCTGCAGCAGAAGGCGCAAGAAAGTTGTTGCTGATGCAGCAGCTCTGCTGGCATTATCCACCTTCTTAACAGGCACTCGGAAGTGTCAGGGGAGTTGTGTCACAGGCTACCAGAAACCCCTTCTGCACTCATAATTGAGTCTCTGTCCGTTGTTTCCTAATCCATGGACCCTGACCATAGACTGAGCAGGTACAAGTTGGTTCGGCACCTCTCAGCCGAGCACGAGTAGCTGTAACTAAAACCAGGAGGGCTTTATAATATGGAAGATGCTGTGCAGCACGTCGCGCGTGTCCCTCCCAGACGATATGCACCGCCATGCGCAGGATGCTCCCTGGAATCGGCATTTCAGATGCCAGCTCCCCACCTGGGGAGACGTGCCAGCTGGTGGGCATGGGCTGACGGAGCTGGTGAGTGAGCCAGCAAGGCCTCCTGCGAAGGGTGGGATGGCTCTGAGGGCGGTGCGGGGCCGCTGCGGCTTAGCGGTGTGACGCTGCAGTCTGCTGGACGGAGCAGGGCGGCACGGTGCCTCTCTCCTCGCCTCCACCGAGGTGGTGCTGGGGCTGCAGCGTGCTCCTCGAAGGCCGGGCGTCAGAGCTCGTGCGGGGAATCCAAGCAGCAGAACTAAATGGGCACCTACGAGGGCAGAGTCAGAAAGCGCTGATGGAACCACGAGGGCGGCAAGAGGCGTGACTTTGATCCCCGTTCTTTGGGAAGTCCGAGGACAAAGGGCTCGGGTCGTGGCCCAGGGGAGAGAACCCTTAGCGGCAGCAACTCCGGTGCTGCTCTGGCCCCTCCGCAGCACAGGCAATAAGCCCGGGGCACGGCAAGTTGCCAGAGACGTTCAGGGCCCCCTTACCAGGCAGCTGGCACGAATAGAAACGTGGGACTTTGCCTCTTCCTGCAGGTAGCAGGTCAAAGAGCTCAAAACTGTGAGTCTTGTGACCTTGCAGGGGTGCCTGTTGAGCCTTGCACAGACCCTCAACAAGTTCCACAAGGAAACTGCCAGTGCTGGAGTTGTATTTTTCTCCTGACAGACACTTTCTCCCAAGGGCAGGCGCATGCTTCCTGTCTGGCGCCATCTCTGTGCGCCTCGGGAATATTTCCTACCCTCGGAGCAGCAGTAAAATTGGAAGGATGGAGGGCAGGGTCTGTTACACACCTGGGCTTCTGGTTGGTGTTGCCTGCTTGGATTTCCTCACTCGCCCATGGCTGAGAGCTCTCTTTACAGCCTGGCCTTCTTCCGGCCCGGTTGCCCATCACCCTCCTCGCTCCAAGTTGTTTTCCGCTTTCTGCTTCCTCGAGAAGACCCTGGCAACCTTTCCATTCCATAGCATTGTTAGGCAGGTAAAGCCATGATAAACGGGTACCAATTCTGCTCTTAATCAAAGCTAGCTCATTTTACCTTCTCTCCGCAGATGAGCTCCTCAGGTGTTCTCTTTCTGGAGCGAGCGGGGCCACCTGCAACAGAAAGGTGGAATTTAAGAGGTGGCAAGGACCCAGCTGCCCAAGTGCTCCCTTAGCTCTGAAAGGCAGATCCCTTGGATGGGTTTGCTGAGCCCAGCTGAGGCCGGTCTGGTGGGAACAGTGCACAAAGTGCAGCGGGCCACCTGCATCCGCCTTGCTGGGCGCTTTTGGAGAGCTGCAGGCTTGTGGATGACCTTGCCTGTCCCTGTGGCAGCAGTCCCACCTTCTGAAGGGGGAGGCTCTTGTTGTCACGCTCTGTGTGGCCCTGACGTACCTCTGCTGCTCCTCCTCCCAGCGCCGGTGCCGGCTGCTCCTCGGCCGATGCGCTGCCAAGCTCGGCCACCTCCTCCCCAAAGAGTTCCTCGTGGTGGTCAATGAGGAACTCCACCAGCCGCGTCACCTGCACACAGCACAGCACGGGTTTCCAGCGAGGTGCAACAGCCTTCCCCACTCCCGAGCCTCGCTTGTGCGCAGCTGTGGGGCTGCTCTTCCCGGCAGCTCCGCCACGAGCGTTTGCTGAAGAGAGGAGGCAGCCAGGTACCTCTGAACAGCAAAGCCCGGGTGGGCCCAGAAGGCTGTAGCCGGCTGGGGAACACCACGTACCTTCCCCGTCTCCTGCACCAGGACGTCCAGGGGAAGCGTGTGCTCCTCGGCTGGGCTCAGGAGGCTTGGCCCCACGCAGATGGCCAGGTTGCCGGCACTCATCCTGCTGGTGGCCACGTTTGTGCTGATGTTTCGGAGCAGGATGAGCAAGTTCTTGAGGAGGAGGAGGTTGGCGCTGGGCAACTTGCTGGCCACCCTGAGGGAACAGGAAGACACCGTTCCTGAACTGGACCTTGTCAGCACAGGCCTCCCTCCCAGGCTGACCCCAGGCCGAGGGAAGGCTCCCTGGCCACCCCTGCTGTACAGCAGAGGGACTGCCTCCGCTGAGATGCGGCCACCTCCCTCCCTCCTGGCCCTGCTGGCAAGAGGCCCTTGGTGCAGCCACCCCCAGGGCCCGCGGGAAGAGCTCCAAGGAGAGAAGTGCCCTGCTGTGCCACGTGCCCCCAGAACCCAAGCCCACAGCGCCCAGAGGTGTCTGGCTGAAGGCACAGCTTCTGCAAGGAGGCTGCCGCCGTGCGGGCGAGTCCCGGCCTCTGCCAGTCCCCGCGGAGCAGGCAGGCTGCTCGCCACACTCACTCCTTCAGTGCCGCCAGCTTCTCCTGCCTGCTGGTCTTCTGCAGGGCGCTCACCCACTCCTCGTAGAGCTCTGCCTCGAGGAGCTTGGAGGGGATCTTGCGGAGGAAGTCCTGCAATGCCAAGGGCACCGGGTGAGGCCTTGGCCGCTGCTTGCCGGGAGCACGGGCAGCACCCCCGGCACTCTGGCTCGGGAGCAGAGCAGGCGGCTGGGTTTCGGCTGCTGCTCTCGCAGGCGCCCGTCAGCAGCGACAGAGGCGGGAGCTGCCGGGCTGCAGGTCAGCCGGGTTCACCTTCAAGATGACGGCCAGCAGCCGCGCAGGCTGGCTTTGGAGGTGGACCTCCGCTCCGCTGTCGAGGGCCTCCCGCAGCTCCCGCGAGGCGCGCTCGCCGGCCGCCAGCTGGAAGATCCCCTCCGTGGATGGCCCGTGCTCGTGAAGGAGAGCCAGCAGGTCCTGAGGGGACAGAGGGGGACAGTTGATGGCTGGAGACAGGCCCTGGGGCAGGTGGACCTTCCTGAGGGACCGGAGTGAGCGTGGAGGGACGGCTCCGTGTCTCTCACTGGGGCGGGATGGAGGGGTGGCTGGAGGCTGGGGATGGGGGGAGGAGATGGCTTTGTCCCCGGGCCCCAGGCAGGGTGCCTGTGCTTGGGACACCGCCTCTCCAGAGGAGCCAGCGGGACGGGGACCCTCCCCTCCCTCTGGCCAGCCCTGCTTACCTGGATGGGCTGGGGCAGCGTGCCGTCCTGGCTGCAGAGAGCTGCCAGGGGCCGGCCAAAGAGAGCCCCCCCGGCGCCAGAGCCCGACGGCCCGGGCGCCTCTGCAGCAGCCGAGGTCCCTCGGCGTGCAAAGGGCCAGGTCAGCCCCCTCCTCCTCCTGCAGGTGCCGCCTGGTGCCAAGGGAAAGAGCGCAAAAACCCCTGCGTGAGTACGGCCGGGCGAGCACTCCCGGAGCCCCTCAGAGCCGTCCCCCCCTGCCGCCGAGCGCAAGGGAGAGGCGTTGTTTGGGCACGGGGGGCGCCGGGGACTCAGCTCTCTCCTGCACAGAGCGGTGGGGATGGATGTGCCCTGCGAGAAGGGCAGCAGCAGCAGCGCGAGTGCCCCCCTGCGAGGGGGGCAGAGAAGGGACGTCCTGCCCCCGTCTTGTCCCAACTCACCAGCTGAGTGGCCACGTCCCCCTTCGCTGCTGGAGGGGACGGGTGGTGGCTGCTGTTCTGCAGCAGCCTGCAAGAAATGTGCTGTGCTCACCGAGCAGCCCCGCAGCAGAAAGGGCCCCCGCTGAGCCAGAGCAGCCCCTGGCCACCTGTCAGAGGTGGGGATGGCCAGGATGGCACCCCGGCCGAGCCTAACCTTTGCCTGGCCCTCGACGAGCCTCTCCAGGCTGCTGGCGTGTAGTGTCGTCGCCTGAGCAAGGGGAAAAAGGCAAAGAGCAGAAGGTGAGAAGCGATGCAGCTGATGCCAGGCTGGAGCAGCATGCGGGGGCAGAGCACAGACGAGAGGGCCACTCACTGCCTTGCGGCCACTCAGCTGCTTCAGCAGGAGCTTGATGGAGGGCAGCTGGGTCACCCGGGCTCCCTGCACTCCTTCTGGTGGCCTGTGCATGGGGAAGGGTCGGAGGAAGAGCTGTGTGAGACCGAAGCTGCCTTTGCCCTCTCCTGCCAGCCCAGTGGGGAGCACTTCCAAGCTGCCCCAAAGCAGCCGGGCAGCGCCGGGCAGTGGAGCGGAGAGCGGTGGCAGTGGTGGGCCTGGGGCTGGGGGGGGCTTGGCTGGACGGGGCTGGGCAAAGAGCAGCTCCGCCAGCTCTGCCCGCTCGAGAGCTGGCTGCAGCCGCGGGGGGAGCTCTCCCAGGCCTGGAGCGTCCCGCCGTGATGTGAGCACGGGCCCCCCAGGCTGCACCGCCAGGCTGGGCTTACCCACTGAGCGCGCTGAGCCAGAGCTCCTTCACCTCCCGGGAGCTGAGGAAGAGAGGAGAAAGAGCCTGAGTGCCTGCTGCTCCCCAGCCTGCGGGCAGAGGCGGGCGCCGGCACAGCCCTGCCCCGTGGGGACGGCTACAGAGGCAGGAGGCAGCCCCGTGGGGCAGGACCGAGGCGCTGCCGGGTCCTGCTGTGGGACGTGGCACGGAGACTCACCGGAAAGTGACGACACTACAGCCGCAGGGCCAGACGAGGACGAGGGAGTTGGTGTTCTTGCCTTCCTCCTCCCGGGTGCCATCCCCAGCCGCCCCCGTCCCACCGCTCAGCACCTGCAGCTGGGCCAGGGCCAGGCAGAGCTGCGGGCGCGGGGAGCTGCCACGTCTGCGGAGAGGAGCGGCAGGGAGTGACTTGGAGGTGGCCGAGCCCCGTGGCTCCCCCTCTACCGTGCTCCTGCCACGGGCATGGCCATGGGGGCATCCAGCACCAGGGTGCCGGGGGCCTGGGGCTGCTCCTTGGGTGTCCCTGCCCTGCTGTGCCAGGGCCAGGGCTTGGGAGAAAGGGCAGCCGGGGTCTGCGAGTCTTACTCGGGCTTGGCGATGACCAGGGTTTCCCTGAAGAGGAGGAGGTCCCTCTTCCTCGTCGTGCGGCCCTGGGCCACCCGCACACGGTGGCGGAGCAGTGGCTGCGGTGCCGCCGGGACAGGCACACTCTCCTGCACGGGCTCAGGGTCCTCCCTGCAGAGCAGACGGCATTGGGCATGAGCAAGGCGGCTGCTGGGGGGCCCGGCTGTGCCGGCGTGTCCCCTGGCCGCGGGGGGAGCTCACCTGGGGCCGCGGCAGCAGTTGAGCTGGCCCATCCCGTCAAGGCCGGGAGAATCCCGCAGACCACTGCTCTTAGGGGTTTGGGGCAGTGCCCCAGCGGCGCAAGTAGGGCTGCCGAGGGGGTGGCAGTGCCAGAGAGTGCTCCTGGGCGAGACCCCAGTAGCACTCGGTGCTGGCACGGCGACGTCCGGTAGGCACTGGGGCTGTTGCCGGGCCAGCGCCGGGATACCCCAGCATGGCACTGTGACCCCAACGGTCGTGCTGGGGGGCACGGGTGGGGGAGGGGCACGGGTGGGGGGGCTCTCCCCAGTATGCCGGTGTCTCTCTCGTAGTGGGGAGCCCAGACCCGGGCAGAGCACTGCAGGCATGGCCTCCCCAGCGCTGGGCAGAGGGGCAGGGTCACCTCCCTCCAGCTGCTGGCAAGGCTTTCCCAGTGCAGCCCAGGGTACCGCTCGCCACCGCCTTTGGGCAACAGCACCTTGCTAGCTGCTGGGCAGCGTGGTGTCCACCAGGACCCGCGGGGCCTTTTCTGCCAAGCCGCTTTTGGTCACAAGTGTGTGTGTGGATGTGTCCCGAGAAGCTTCACGCCCACACCGGTGTCATCCACAGTCGGTCCCACCCTCTTTCCACAGGTCTCCCGGTGCCACTGCTGTGAGGGTGAGAAGGGCATGTCTCCTCCAGCCAAAGCAGTGGTCCAAGTGGAAAGGCTTTAAACTCGGGGAACTGTGCTAGTGAATGTGCCTTTAGGAACCAGCTCAAGCAGGAATAATGTGCGTTGCGAAAGACTCGGCAATCTGGGAATTTTCCTTAGAAATAATAAAGGTGTTTATATTTTTCTTGTAGGTAAACTGCTTTTGGAAGTAGCTGACTTAAAAATAAAATAGAAACACAGATGATCCCACGCCTCTACCTCTTCCAAGTTGCATTTGCTCAGCATTCAACACCTGACTGCCTGTTCATGTGTTCTGCTGTCATCCTGCCTTGCCGGGCTTCCGTAGGGCTGGGCGATCCTGTGCCATGGCCACCTAGCATCTGAGGGATGAGCTTGGCAGAGATCAGAGATCTTTTTATTTTCTATTTTGTTCTATTTGTGTTACATGTTTGTCTGCTGGCTCTGAGAGCCATCCTGGACTCGGCCCATCTGAGGGCGCTTAGTCTGTGGCTGCTGCAGCTGCAGGCTGTACCGTGCATGTGCTGGTTCAGGCAGCCTCTCCCTGGCTGCCCTACTAATATGCTCTAATTTATATAAAATGCAGACATGTGGTGCTCAGTGTTATCAACATTATTCTCATCCTAAGTCACGCAGCACTATACTAGCTACTAGGAGGAAAATTAACTCTATCCCAGACCAAACCAGGACAATACTGTGAGAAACTATGAGCTAAGTATATTGTTCATTAAGACTTAAAGGTCGGATAACAAGAGAAGGGGAGATCGCTCATGGAATCATGCTTTGCTTGTGCACACATGGCCGACGCCGCAAATCACAAGCTATTCCAAGAAAACAAACAGAAGAAAAACAACTCCATATAAGGATATCCTTGACCACCAGGAGGCAGAAAACGACCCCCTAGCAACAGTTGGAACATGCGCAGAGTATCTCCACCACTCTAGACCCCAGCAACAGTTGAAACAGAGTATCTTCACCACTCTATGAAGGCGGGAGACAAAATGTATAAAAAGGGACAGTCTGTTCTACTCAGTACGGCAGTTGGTGGAGCACAGACTGCCCTTTCGTCCACCGCTGTTTTTGCTCATATTCTACTTGCTATAATAAATAAAAATTGTATTACGACCCACTGTAGTCTCAATTTATAACAATACCTTTAAAAACTGGAGGGAAGGGATGCCATCCAGAGGGACCTTGACAGGTTTGAGAGAGGTGGGCCTGTGTGAACCTCATGAAGTTCAGAAAGGCCAAAAACAAGGTCCTGCACATGGGTTGGGGCAGTCCCAAGCACAAATACAGGCTGGGTGATGAGTGGATTGAGAGCAGGCCTGCAGAGAAGCACCTGGGGGTATTAGTGGGTGGAAAACTGACTATGAGCCACCTGTGTGCGCTCACAGCCCAGAAAGCCAACTGTCTCCTGGGCTGCATCAAGAGAAGCGTGGCCAGCAGGTCCAGGGAGGGGATTCTGCCCCTCTAATCCGCTCTCAGGAGACCCCACCCGCAGTGCTGGGTCCAGCTCTTGGGCCTCCAACGTCAGAAGGACATGGACTTGCTCAAATAGGTCCAGAGGAAGGCACGAAGATGATCGGGGACTGGAGTACCTCCCTTATGAAGAAAGACTGAGACATTTGAGGTTGTTCAGCCTGGAGAAGAGAAGGCTCCAGGGAGATGTTACAGTGGCCTTCCAGTACTTCAAGGGGGGTACAGGAAAGGTGGGGAGGGACTCTCTGTCAGGGAGGGTAGTGATAGGATGAGAGGTAACAGTTTTAAACTGAAAGAGGGTAGATAAAGATTAGATATAAGGACGAAATTCCTTACTGTGAGGGCAGTGAGACACTGGCACAGGGTGCCCAGAGAAGCTGTGGCTGCCCCCTCCCTGGAAGGGTTCAAGGCCAGGTTGGACGGGGCTTTGAGCAACCTGGTCTGGTGGGAGGTGTCCCTGCCCGTGGCAGGGAGAGTGGAACAAGATGATATTTAATGTCCCTTCCAACCCAAAGCGTTCTGTGATTCTATGACTGTTGTAGACAGAGGGATTTAGTGTGGTTTGTATCCTGACTGTAGCTTCTGGATGGAGCTGCGCTTTTGTGAATGGGAACAGTAAAGCAGAAAGAATTGGAGGGTTTAGTTTTTGCCTGCAGAAAAAGTGATTTTGAAGTGACTGTCTTCCCCACGGTGTTTAATCCCTGCCTAACACCTGCTGTCCGTAAAGCTTTGGATCTGATGCTGGTGCTGTAGTTCTCTGCAAAGTATTCAAGAGCTGAAGAGGGCGCTGGTATTTCTGTAAATGGATTTTAGTTATCTGCTCAGAAGAGCTGAAAAGTCACTGAATTAGACTCTGGAGGATCTGTTCCTAGTTTTACAGATCACTGGAGCATGAAGCTTGCTTTTTCTGAAAAGAGAACTACCTGAGATGAAAATACTAAGAATAATGCAGTTTTTCTATTTTGAACAACAATAAAAAAATCCAAATAATGTTTTTAAGTTAGACACAAAACTTTTCAACTTTTAGAAATTTATTGAGCTGCAGTTGCCAATTGTGACAGCAGCTTTCTTATGTGGTTGTAGCAGATACTCAGTGCAGAAAACGCAGAAATGTGTTTGGGAACTTGAGTTACAGTCAGTCTGTTTGCAGTAGTGATAGTATTATATTTACTTGCACCGAGTGCTGATGTAAGAAAGGCTGTTTTCAGCATCGCGCTTTTCTGAAACATACTGACCTGTCTGAATGTCTTAAGCGATGATGTGGGAATGGGAAGCCAACGTGACAGCTCTGTTACGCCCAGGTCACAGCGTGGGCTGAGCTGCGGCAGCATTGGGCCTTCACGCGCTGGGACGTCAGCCCTGGGAAATGGCAGTTAAAACGTCCCCACTCAGGGCTTTCTGTCTGATGTAGGGTATTTCAGGTCCGACATTTTCATGGCCGGAGAGGAAAGCACACAGCCCTGTTTGCATCCCAGATTTCACGTGCAGGCCGAAGTGAGGCGTAGGGGGACGATGAGGTGTCTGGCAGGGGACAGAGAGGGCAGCTGGCAGGGTTTCCAGTGGGGACAGGGCTGTTCTTCCTCTTGTCCAGTACAGGCATGGACTGACACTGCTCCTCTGTAAGCAGTAATATTCTGTGTTTTGTATTCCTCCCAGGGGGACGTCGCATGCTGTTCCCTGGCTCTTGCTGCGAGCTCAGTGCCAGCCTACAGATGCCACAAACGGCAGCGCAATCTGCAGTGAGCCTGGGCTGCTGCCTGCCTTGGGCAAAGCTGAGGAGAAACCAACTCCTCTGGTGGGTTTTGGAGCAAGACACACAAATATTTCATTGGCCAAGATGTGCATGGCCTCTTGCTGGTGTTACGTGTTAGATGCTCTTTGGATGTTTTTAGTGTCCTCACGTGAGAAAGAAGCTATGGATGAGGCGGCACCACGTACATGTATTCTCCAGTCTGTGTTTTAATTGTGCTTCCTCCTTTCATAATTCCTTGCTATGAGAATTACAGCTGGAAAGGTTTTTGTAAGAGATACACGTGAGACAGTTTGTGCCTAGGGGTATCAGATATTTAATTTCAGTGTGCCATGATCCCTTCTTCGGAAACAAAAATCCCTTGAAGGTCTTCCTTTGATCATATCTGAATTATTCTGAAATAGGTAGAATTTCACTTCCAAAGCTTGTCATCTCAAACTCTGAAAACCAGAATAGTTTTTACATCTGCGTGGCCAAATATGGAGGAGGAGATTCAGCAGCCATGCTGTGCACATCTTCTGCTGTGCTGCATACTTCTTGCAGGCCTGCTCCACGGGCTCTCCTTTTGTCAGCTCTTCCTTGGGATGAATGCAGACAGCAGGAAAAAATGAATTGTCTGTTCTGCTTCTCAAATTTATCTAGAGATTTCACCCTCACTTGATTAAAAAATTTGCAAACCAATCTCCAGTCCTGTGCAAAGATTAAGATGGCAAAAAGATTCATGCCTGCACCAAGCTCTAATTTGGTTTTATCACTCACTTCAAAGAATACGGATAAGTGGTATTTTCTAGAGAAATTGATTTAATCTTTTTCAACACAGGCCTAAACCAAAATTAAACAGAAAATTGTTGATGCAATTTTATCTAAGAAAGTTAAAAAAAATGCGCACACTAATCGCAGAGTACTTATTTACAGTGGCATGTTATGGTCTGTGTTCATCCCTGAAAGAATCACCACAATATTTTTTAGAAATTCAGGCTGAAATGTCACCCCATTTTCTTCCCGATGCAAACAAGACAGTTAAAGCTGAGGACTGGAGCTAAGACACTCTATTTGAATGACATTTTTAAGATCCAGCTGGACAGGGTTCTGGGCCATCTTGACTAGACTGTGCTTTTGCCGAGAAGAGTTGA